TCAGTGGTGCATGTTCTGGTTCCCCTTGTTACCCCTTGATTTTCCCTGCATGGTTGTCTGTTCCAGTTCCTTGGGCTGCTGGTTTCGGTTCCCTGGCTGTTGTCTCGATTCCCCTTGTGCTGCCTGCTCCAGTTCCCTGGCCGCTGTTCCGGTTCCCTGGCTGTTATCCCGGTTCCCTGGCTGCTGTCCCGATTCCCCTTTGGTTGCATTTTACGAACTCCTGTGTGGCTTTTAGGGTGTTATTTATGGTTTGATTTCGGACCTTTCATTTCCCTATTCTAAGTGGTTTAATTAATAGTCTTTGAGGCTGTTTGGCTGCCCATTTTCTCCTATATATAGTAGATGTTTTGTATTCAAAGAGAGAGTTTTATGGAGAGATTTTTGGAGCCAAAAACCTGATGTTTTTTTTCTTCTTTGGAAAAGCTTGCGATCTTGTTCCATTCACCTCTTCTTCTAGGAAAGCTTGCGAGCTTGTCCTCTCTTCGTCTCGGCTTCTAACTTATTTCTTCTCTCCACAAGTTCGACGCGACTTGTATCTTTCGTCTCAAGCAAAGAAGAGCTCCTTTAGGTGTTGTTTATGTTTGTGTTTGTAAGTATCAGTTCAAGTTGTCAAAGTGATGTTGTGTATTTCTATTTAAAGTTGTAAGAGAGGCTTTTTTTCCATAAAAGTTGAATTTTTTGTATATTTTCTTATAACCTAGGAAATCTTGTAATTTACTTGCAAAAATTTAGGTCTCCCTATATTTTTGCCTGCATCAATGGGGAATTAAAATACACCTTCACATCTTCTACTATTCTCAGCAATATCAAGAACTTTAATTTTATGATGGCAGCAAGAATTCATAGAATTCCTTAAGGAGAAGACCGTAAATGAACAATATGCAATGTGGTATGGAAAATATGAAAGATGATTAGGAAATTTTTTATGTGAAATAATTGCTAAAATTAATGAAATTTCCTACATATTATATTTGGATAATTAATGAAACTATCTAACCAATGCAAATCAAGTGTTATACGTGCAATGTGATTAATCTACACAAAACTCTCATCAAACCTACCTAGAAAGCTAAGCAAATTTCAGACTTGGCAAGATGAATTTTTATGACCAACTTCAACAAGAAAGAAGTATGGAAGATTGATGTAGGCATACAGGGGGTCAACTCAAACCCAAAATAAGTTGGTTTTGACTTCCCTTGAGCTTACTAGCTCAATAAATTTTGAGTTGAAATTTAGCTCATTTATGAGCAGATTTTTAGTTCATTTATTGAACTAAATGTTAGCTCATTATTAGCTAAGTTTTAGTTCATTAGTTATCTTAATTATGTAATTTTTATTTATAGTTTTTATGTCTTAAATTCAAGTTTGTCTCTTGGGAATCCCAAGGTTGTTTGTTTTCCCGTGCCTTGGCTCCTCTTGCGAGTTCTTCTCCACCTTTCTTCTTGGGCTTCTAATCTCTTTCGTCTCTCCGCAAGTTTACACCCCACCTGTATCCTTCTTCTCAAAGAAATGCAACTTTAGGTGTTTGTCTTGTTTGAGTCGTTTGTAAGAGTTGTAAGGTGTCATTTGTAAGTGTCCAATTTGTAATAATCTTTTATATATTAAAGTGAAGTTATTTGTGGTTTATTTGTACCCTTTTGAGCATTTTGTGTCTTTATTTTATCTAGGAAATCATTTCTATTTTGTGATCAAAAATTTGGGACCCTCTCCCAAATTTTTGATTGCATTAAAGATCTTGTCTTTAATACACAATAAATAACAGGGTGATTTACATACATACCATAAATTCTTATGAACTTACATACCTAATCCTAAAACTTTAATATATATTTATATAACACTCAAATTATTAAATCACACCAAAAATATTACCAATATCAAGTTTTCAAAATGAAAAACAACTTTTATCTGCACATGACCTCTTTCCCTCTTCCTTTCAAAATTTATCAGCCCAAACACAACTAACTTTCACATCCCCAACCTAGAATTATTCACTCCTAGATTCAAAATGTCATTAGCTTGCCATTGCCAAGTTTCAACATCCAGTAGCTAAGTTTTCTCTAATTGACAGTAATCACCCAAAATATAGATGGAGATGAAGGAAAAAACACATGACCAAAAGACAAAAAAAAATACAAGAAAGAAGTTAAAAAATAGACATCGTTCACCAACTTATTTTACATCAAACAAGGAATTAATTACAACTTACAATATAAGAAAAACACTCATCAGATTTGAACTAGACTCTATATATCACCAACTTATTTTACATCAAACATGGAATTGATTAGGGCTTACGATATAAGAGAAGCTCTCATCAGATTTAAACTAGACACTATATATTGATGAAGACAAGAGAACCACAAACATATGAACCAGAAGACAATAAAAGAATTACAAGAAAAAAAGGTAAAAATTAGACATTTTTCACTGACTTATTTAGCATCAATCAAGAAGTTGATTAAGTTTTACTGTATAAGAGAAGCTCTCAAAAGAATTTACCATAAAGCAAATTTTTTTTCAAATCAGTATCATAACATCACCATTGTTTGTGTTGCAATGCCAATTGTTAACGTCCACTGTAACATACAATCAAACCTTGGTTGGTACTTCCGCCAAAACACCGTGAAATGTGTAGGAATGTGCATCAGAATTCATTATGACATGAAACACTGGCAAAATATTTTAATTATCACTCAACAAAATTTATTTTTGCTATCATACATAAAAATGAAATACCAGAAACAGTCCCTCAACAAATACAAAGGTATAGCTACGTGTACCAACCCTTCAAGACCTAGGTATCCACCCTTTTTTTTAATCATATTCAAATGTCGTTGCCATTTAGTTTAGATACCGGCGTGTTTAAAGAATTATGGACTCATCCATGTGCATATCATTCTGGTGTGGAATGTTATATGTCGAATATGTATATATTGAGGTCATATGGAAAGCACTAGAGATTCATTCCAATTTAATTGATTAGTTTACGGTTAAGAGATCACAATGTAGGCCAATTGATGATTTACCAATCAAAGAAACAAGAGAAAAAAGATGCAGAAAGATCCAAGATGAGACGCACAAAAGCAGCTTCTAAAACAGACAAGCAACCAATATTCATGAAACTGCTAGAAAAAAGCAAGAATAAAAAAGAATAAAAAATATAGAAAATAGATGCAGTAGGCCTTTTTCTATCATGTTGGATTAAATTAATAGCTATAAGCAGTAGAGATGTACCATTAGGATAGCAAAAGGATGACCAACCTACTAAGAAAGGAAGCACCGCCTCATTAGTTCATTGAGAACAATTTGAAGTACTAAGGTCATTTTATGTGTCCAAGTGTAAAGCCCAACACTAAATGCTCCGTATAATTCCTATGAAAAGAGAATAGAATCTCCCAGCAATTAATAATCCTTCCCTTTATGATTGATTCTTGTGAACGCTATTCCGTAGTACTTCTACTAATAACTTGCAATTCAAGTTTGATAGCTCCAGCTGTAATTAAACAAACTGGCCAATCCTATTTTAAAACTTCAAGATAACTAGCTAAAGATCATAAACAATTTTATAATAGATACAGAAATTAGGAAGTAAGAAAAATGATAATAATGCAGTCTGATATCTGGATGTCTGATGATCAAGATTGATGAAGACCAGCGTGTTTTCATTATGGATTTATTAGAACTTAGTTTTTAGATTTCAATCACTTACTGATTTCATGACGATTATTATGTAATCAGCCATAGGGTAATTTTTCAGTTGTCTAGTTATTTTCTATAAATAACCCCCATATGTAAAACCTAGTTTGGTGAGTTGAATCATAGCTCCTGGAAGCCAATATTTGGCTTGGCTTATTTCGTCCATTTTTACTCCAAGACTACTGCATAATCTGCTTTGACGATTCACTCATTCACCAACTCCGATGTTCTGAGGATTTAGCATCAAAACTCAGGAATTTCAAGACTTGTCCTTTTTTTTTTTTGGAAATTAGTAGAAGGGAAAAGATGGCTCTCAAAAACAGACTTTTTTAAGGAAATTGAGTGGATCCTCCATGTCTATATGATCTGCGGCTCAGTAACAGCGGTTTGAATGAAATAGTAGAAAAGGTACGTATTTTCAGTAGCTTATTTCTTTGGACACATAACTACAAGATTCATAGTGGACAGTCACGGGACACTTCCACCACATACAAAACAAGACAAGTTGACCTTGTTGGCAATTAACAGCAAACTCCAGCATCTCAAGTACAAAAATGAGATGCAATAAAAAGTTTATAATCATTCAAGAACTTTTGACTTTCAGCAGCATTATGTCTCCTCCTCACTATGAAGAAAAGATTTCAAATGGCAGCATAACAATTTAATGAAAGCAGACAATCAATAAAATTTATTTGAAAAACAAAAACAACATAGCAGCTATGATAATGAATAGTTTACTTATCAATTTGTTTTACTATTAAGTTATTTAATTTTTTTACTTAATTATGATACCGTACTATTAGATCTAAAAGAAAGTGACCTGCACCAAATAGTCCACTAAAATATCATATTAATTTGAACAACCTTAAGAATACATATTTCACACAATTTTTAATGCGAGATACTCAACAGTGGAAAACCCACTGCACAATTTATGGTACAGATAATAGAAGACAAAAGCTCCCACTGCTGTATTAATAAACGTGGAGCTTTTTCGTATGAACTGAAAATTATACTAAGGCATGGGCTCGCAAAAAGTAAGCACATCACATGCCGAAAGTTTAAGCGCGTTCATCTAGAACATCAACAAGTGCAAAAGGTCAAAAAAACTCACAAGAGAATGAAACGTGGAAGAGCAACTTCAAGAACGATCAGACAAAACTAATATGTCAAAAAAAAAGTTACTGCAAATGGAGAGCAGTTTAGCTAAAATACATCCTAGCCGAAGTTAAAAAATAGCAATTAAACTGCTTTCAAAAATATGTAACCTTCATAAACATCTCAGAGAAAAAGTTTCTTACTGCTTGCGAAGATTATTCAGCTTCAAGGTCTCGTAAAGGGCATGCAATGAATCTAGCATTTCTGACAAAAGCTGTGTATAATAAAGCACTTCTCGGCTTTTCTTGTCATGCACGTGAACAGCAGTAGGGCGAGAATCTCTAGAACTCAATACAGACACCACCGAAAGATGAGAGTTTGAAACTTGCTTACCGTAGTTAGCATGGAAATTGCTACTAATCAGAAAATCCCATGAAGTGGTAGGCATTTTAGGGAAACAAGGATGACTAGACTGAAGCAGATCAATGATTTTGTGCGCTGTACTTAAAAAAGATTCCCATTCAGAGTCCGAATTTGAATTATTATTTTGCGAGTTTGTTGAAAAACCACTTCCCCAGAGTAGACTTAAAACATGATTGTATGAACAAGAATGCAATCCTTCAGCCATCACCATTATACAATCATTTGCAAGAGAAGAAGTTGGGTTCGTACGCAATGTACATCTGAATATCTGCATTACAACATGCTCAGACATCAGGCATCAGTGCAATAATAAATGGACATGAAAAGGTTAAGATTTATGATAGAGCAAACTCTAAATCGCAGCTCATAACACGTGTATTAAAAGAAAAATGGTAAAAGAAATATGGAGAAAACCTCAGTGGAAGCATTAAAGGAATTCAAAACGTAATCATAGTTTTACCTTGTTTTCGCAAATAAAATAGCTTTGCACCCCTCGAAACAATGACAGATGCATATACAAGTCTTAATCAAAACAAACATATTCAAAAGTAAATCTTAAGGACGATAGCAGGGAACAAACAAGAAAGGTGGGCATCAAGAAAGGAAAAAAAGGCATTATTCGAAGTACAATTCATTAAATGCTGAAGAAAACTGAAAGAGCACCTCTGTCAAGCAGATTGTTGGAGTAACCGTCTAGAAGCTAACCAACTAGCAAGATAATGTTTGGACCACCAGTGGCATAAATGCAATAATTTGAAAAAAAAACACAATTTTACATATCTATAGAGGTAAAATTACACAAAAATCTCCGGATATGACAAGCTTCTATTTTTCTTTTGTTCACCAAATGACATAAAAGACACCTGTAACCACCAGAATTTTTTTTCTTTTTTTTTTTTCATTTGATTTGTTGAACTGAAAAGGCTAAACCAAACCCAATTTCTCCTCACTGCCTCTCACGTCCTACTTAATATCTGAATCTGGATTGTTTAGGCATCGGCAAGAGTAGCGAACAAGGCAGGCGAGTGAGATAGAGAGAGTATGGGTCTTGGATGCTTCCTTCAGCTGTAGAGGAGACCAAGAGTACAACAAGGGAGGAGGCAATTGTGTGCAGAGATAAAGAAAGAGGGAGAGACATCGGGTAAGTGCATATCAGTAGTAGAGAAACCAATGCATTATTATCTTCCACAGTAAGAAAGGATGCATTCTCCCCTAGGTCATACAAACCACAGCAGGGGCTGCGACCTTCCTAAATGCACTTCACTCGGCAACTACAGCAGGAAGTGGCCTGGGGCTTGCAGTGGAAGAAGACGAGTAAAAGAAAGGGGTAATGAGGAAGTCAGAGTAAGGGTTTCACATGGATGGCTTTTCTTAATCATCTATGTTGTATAAGGTAAAACTACAATTTTTGTTTTATTCTTTAAGATTCATAATAACTCAGTGGTTGTCTTTAGGATACAGATTAAATTATGTTGTGAAAGAAAAACTTCTATGTAGGTTAATCCTGGTTATTAGGTAATGCTTCAAATATATGAATATATCATTTGTATCATTCTAATCTCTTTTTAAAAACAATACAATCTATTTAACCGGACACAATGGCGAAAAAGGATTCATATAGCCGAGCCCACATAGTGGGACAAAGGCTTGGTATTGTTGTTGTTGTTGTATATTTAGGATATAATCGTCATGATTTTGTGATTAAAAATAAGGTATTGTATCAAATAGTTTTAGATATGTTATCAAATAGTTTTATTAATGATAATCTCTTAAGGATTATTTGGGATTATTAGAGAGAATATATGTTGATACTTGGTTAGTATGAATAAAATGAAATAATTTGGAGTATTAGAATAAATTAGCATAAGCATTATGTAATTAAAATGATGAAAGGATTATATAAAAAAAACTGAATCTCAAAGGGGCATTATGGATTTCATAAGTCCATGTTCAATAATAATTTATATATGAAGTATTGATTAATTCGCTATCATTTGGAATTAATTATGGAATATAAATAAGAGGAACCTTTAAAATTGCTTCTTATGGGGATATGTTTTAATTGGGTGCATTTGTCATTTAATGTTTGAATATATGATTAATCGAGATTCATTTAAATCAAAGGTTTATGGAGCACCATAAGATGAGAGAGAAATACCAACATCATAATCAAAATATTGAACTGCTATGGTCTATGTTTGGTAGGTTATTTTTATTGGCTAATAGATAAACATACCCTTGTTTGATAGGGGCTTATTCCTTGCTACTTGTTTGTGTACTTTAATTGCTAATAATATATTATAGAATATGCTTTACTTATTCATAGTATTTCATTTGATTACATTGATAGCTTTTCATTTATATTTTTTTTTCATGAACTCTTTTGTATAATAACAGGACGCAATGATGAAAAAGGATTCATGTAGCCGATCCCACATAGTGGGATAAAAGCTTGTTGTAGTTAATTGTTGTTGTTGAACTCTACTGTATAATAAGTACAAGAAAATAATTTTCATATTTGAAAATTTTTATCTATCATGGCAAACAACTATTATGATATAATACCTATAGAGAAAAAAGTAAAAAGATTCATAGACTATTTGTAAAGGGTTATTTTAGTCCAAGATATCTAATGTGCTCAATTTATTCCCTTCTGATTCAAAAAAAAAATCACTCTAGTAAAACATTTTGGATAAGATCTAAAGAGTCAAAGCACTATTTTGGAGACAAGTATTTTCATAATATTCATTTACTTGGTTCATTTATTTATTAACATGAAATATTTTACTTCAGCTTTAAATTATGTCGTGCATATATATTTATATTCAATGGCCATCATAAGTAGTGAATTATATTAGACACACACGACATATCTAAGGGATGAATATTTATGCTAGTTCCTAGCTATCATAAGCATTTCTGATTATAGATTGATGTATTTGCTAGAAAAATTAAAACCTTCCTAGGAGATATAAAAAACATAAAATACTCAAAAATACCCAAAAGACACTTTTTATAATAAAGATGACTTACAAACTTTTGACTCTTACAAACGACTCAAACAAAACACCTGAAGTTGCTTTCATCCATTAGAAGAAGGATACAGGTGAGGTGTAAACTTGCGGGTAGAAGAAAGAGATAAGAAGCCGAGAAGAAATGGAGACAAGCTCGCAAGCTCTCTCAAAGAGGAGAGGAAGGAGGAGAGTTGGAAAAAGCTCACAAGCTTTTCCAAACAACAAACCAGCAGGTTATGGCTTCCAAAAATAACTCACATATCCATTTTTTAAACATACACAAATCAGTCCTTATATAAGCCAAAAGAGGGCAGCTAAATAGCCACCATATCTTCATTAAAATCCTAATTAAAATAGGAAGATAAAAGGCCAAAAGTTACTCCAAAACAGCAGCCCAAAAGCCACCAAACAGCAGCCCAAAAGCCTCCAAACAGCAGCCCAAAAACCTCCCAACAGCAGCCCAAAAGCCTCCAAACAAAGAAGAAAAACCGCAGGAACCAAGCAGCAGCCACGGGAATCCAAGGGGCAAGGCACGGGGACCAAGCAGCAGCCGCGGGAACCAAAGGGCAAGGCACGGGAAAGCCACCCAACACAGGAAACCAACAGCCAACCACGGAACCAAGGGAGCAAAGGAACGAAATTTCTCCCAGCACAGGGAAACCAACAACCAACCACGGAAACCCAAGAGACAAAGCATAAGAAAGCAACAGCCATCACAAGAAAACGAATAGCCAAAGAGGAGGAGAAGAGACACTAGTGGAGAAACCAAAGAGTCAAAGCAAAAAGTAGATTTGGCAATAAATACACAAATTATGAGCTGAATTAAGTAGTGGGAAAGCATTTATGAGCTGAAACATAAGAAGAGACTCATTAATGAGCTGACTCAAGTAGAACTTACAAAAAATTTCAACTCATCTTGTTTTGACCCCCCCCCCTTTGCCTACATCATAAATGTAGGTAACTCAATGCAATGACAAACTTTAAAAAAAGACTAGCTTTGTTACTTAAATAAATAAAAATTTTAATTTCAGGGAGCATGAGTATTCGTAAGAAAGTGAAGTGCACTGTCAAGTGATAAATCATGAAGTGCATAGCTAATAACTTGAAAATCATAAAATAATAGGTATGAGTTTGCAAAATAATAACTTAATGGGTGCAACCTACCGAGTAAACGATTACGCATATGACATAAATATGATCAATCAAAGAGAGAGTGTTGGAGAATTTTTGTATCCTCAAACGGATTGCATATTTTACAATCGAGTACGACATAAGAACGTGATATATTATCCCGAATGATAAAAATATCATTTCCTTATGGACTCAATGATAAAATTTACAATTATTAACAGAGATTCCCCCACTCGATATTTGGTCGAGCGGGATTTATTTTATTTATGGAGTATAGACGTCCCATTAGGGCTTACATCCCAAGTTTTGGCTTGGGAAAACTTTTGATTAAACTAGTGGTTTTGCTTTCTTTTTGAAGTCATTTAAACATTGGCTAATATTTGATTTTTGAAATCCATGAAAGTCTTAGTTAGAGGATTTGGTATTTTAGGAATTTCAGAGAGGAGTTGATCAACTTAGAAATTAGATTTCTTGGAATGAGGGGCAAAGAAGGTGAAGTAGGAGCACTTGATTCTGAGGGAAACTCAGAGGTGCTCAAACTATCCTATGTTGGGCTTTACATTTTAGAGCTCTAATTTTGGTTTAAGTTGACATTTTTATTATAATGTTAGAGCTTACATTCCTTCAACATATGTTATATGAATTGCCCGAAATGTGAGGGCTTATAGGGTAATTTAGAATCAACCCATGCCTCAAACCCTAAAACTAAGGTGAGGACTACCGATAGGTAGTGCCTCGAACCTAAATCTAACGAGTGCAAAGGGGCTTAACTACACCTCACAAGAGGCATAGCCTGCCCGACCTATGGATTTACTGTCCCGCCTGGAAGGGACTATCAGCTAGACCCTCCTAATCGCTTTTAAAATCATGTCTTGGTCTCAATGCAAATGTAGAGTGGATGGTCATTTTTATTTAAAAGGTAGGACTTATAGCTTGGATTTTAGGCCAAGATGCCTATGCATGTAGGTATGTATATGCTGAATCATAAAGAAAAAGATTTTTTTGTTATTTAATCCTTAAGTGAGGGCTTTCTATATGCAACATGTTTTGGGCTATGCATGATTGTTTTAATTTTTAGAAAACTTGGCTCCTTTAAAGGGAGCCATGCAAGATTTTCTTATTT